GTGTGTGTGTGTGTGTGTCGTCGTCGTGTGTGTCGTGTGTGTGTGTGTGTGTGTGTGTGTGTGTGTGTGTGTGTGTGTGTGTCGTGTGTGTGTGTGTGTGTGTGTGTGTGTGTGTGTGTGTGTGTGTGTGTGTGTATATGGCTTGCGCCAGCTGTACAGACGTGTAAGACATGCAGACACCTCGCCCTGCCGCGTAAATGCGTAATATGGTCGTCGTGGAGGCGACGTGTGCGCCTGAGTAGGGCCTACTGTAATATCTGAGTCATCGCCTGCTATAGGTATGCTGGTGCGAAAACTACTGCATTGAGCTCCCGCATTCGGCGTGAAATCGGCTACAAATCCTAAGATTGTATTCCTATCCTAATCCTCATCCTATTCTATTGCAAGGAAGGGGAGGGAGAAGCAGATCGATATATCGCAAACGTGCGGTCTCGTTCGCAACTCCGCTGGTGAGGGTTTGGGAGAGTGGGCAGTTGAAACACCCGACAGAAAGCAATGTGAGCAATAGTGAGAATTTCATCAATCTCAGTTACCACAATAGACTACTAATACTAACATGTCTATTAATTATAGTATACTAATCGACTACCAACGCTAACATTATACTACTAATTATAGTATAGATTGCTAATGAAGGGAGAATATTTTTACACATATCCATATTAGCAGGGATAAATAATAACACATTGTCATTATTTGTAATAATTCATGATTACTGTCATAATTATTGTCATAATTATTGTCATAATTATTGTCATGATTATTGTAATAATTATTTGTCATAATTGTTATTGTCATATAATTGTCATTATGTTTATGACAATTTGCCATTATTCACTCCTGATATTAGGTGAGCAAATCCCATGTGCAATAGTATGTGAGCGGCTCAGTAGAAGGTTTACCTGGTACAGCAGTTGTAGCGCTAGTAGAAAGCAAGCCATCTCGGATGTGACTACCCCTATAAGTAGACACAAACGTACCCACCATCATTTTGCGAAAATGGAGCGCGTGAGCGTCTCTATATTATTATGCTACCGTAAGGAAACTGGTCAATTAAATATGGTCTATAAACCATTGATGCATACGGGAAATACATGATGTAACATACAATGTATTAACAGTACATGAATTATATATAATGTACAAAGAAATATGAAATGAAACTCCTGAAATGCACTTAAAAAACGTATTTTTATATAATGTCAACAAGCCGCGAGGCGATACAGAACGAACATTATATGCGGCATTGATACACACACGCGCGCACTACGGGGCGCCATGCAGGACAGGGCTCAATTTTGTCTAACAAAACTCAATTCTGTCTCACAAAACTCAATTTTGTGAACACAAAACTCAATTCTGTCAATCCTGTACCACAAAACTCAATTTTGTAAACACAAAACTCAATTCTGTCGAACCGGTTTCTTCTGACCAATGGTAGCCCTTCTTACATGCGTGTGCCATATTTGGGCAACAGAATTGAGTTTTGTGTTTACAGAATTGAGTTTTGTGGTACAGGATTGACAGAATTGAGTTTTGTGTTCACAAAATTGAGTGTTGTGGAACCGGTTCGACAGAATTGAGTTTTGTGTT